TGCATCAAGAATAAAATAAACTTCACAAGCACTGGAGAGGTGGCCCAACAGGTAAGAGTGCTTATCGGTCTCCCAGAGGACCCAGATTTGTTTCCCAGAACCCACATCAAGCAGATCACAGCCACCTGTAACTCCAGCTCCAGGAGACTCAACACCTTCTTCCAGTCTCTTTGGATGCACATACAGGTGACATATATTCATACAGACACATACACACAAATAAAAATAAATCTTTAAAAAGAATCTTCACATATTCAAATTCAAAAAGAACCTGTATCTTTTTCATTTTTATTTATGTATGCAGGTTCAGATGTTAGCCTCCTGTGTTGGCCATTAAGAGCTGTCCACCTTATTTTTTGGTATGAAGACCTTCACTGGAGCCTGGACTCATAGATTAGGCTAGGCTGGCTGTTCAGACAAACCCAGTGATCCACCTGTCTCTGCCTCCCCAACACTGTGATTAAATAAACAAGCTACAGTATCTGGCGTTTTACATTAGTGCTGTGGATTGAATCCAGGTCCTAAAATTTTCATAATGAGCAATTTACTGACTGAGTCATGCCTCCACTGCCAAGAGTATATATTTTAAACAAGTGTTCAAAGTGCCACTGTCTTATGTTTATTAGGATATGTGGGATGTAGCATTTATGGAACAACGAACTGCCAAAGTATCTTCATACATTACCATGTACATGCTTTTTGTTTGGTTTGGGGTTTTGTTTGTTTGTTTGTTTGAAGTTCTCTCTTTTCTGGTGGGTAATAAGGAAATAGGATGTTAGGTATGCTTTAGGCCATTGTATTAGAGATATTGACTAATGAGTGAATGACAATCACCTAACAGCAATCTACTACAGATACGAAAGTGGAGACCAGGAAAGGGGGGTGGGTGAAGAAGTTCACAACCTAGGAGGTCCAAAAACAAAAGCTTTCCAGAGGTCACAGCCTCCCCAGCTAAGCAGAGAATTACTGATTTTGTTTCTGGTACAGTCACACTTTCAGCACACAAATGTCAAATGCCTGCCTTGTGCAATGCATATTCTGGCTGTTTTAAATTGCATACACTTATGTGATGGCAAAGCAAATAAATATTTGCTGTTTGGGAAAACAACTACCAAGCTATTCTTCCTAGGAATAACATAGCATCTTTGCTGTACAGCATAGATGGTCTCTTTATAGCCACCTTGACTGGCTATTTTGGATAAGAAAGACAACATACATCATATATGATTGAAATATAATACCAAGAAAAGAGACAATGAAGTGGTTCTTTAAAATTGGGGGAAATCAGAAGAAGATATGCATGCACTCAGAGGCACGCCAAAGGGGAATTGGCATCAGTGCAAGACTAATGGAGAAAAATGAGCTAATGAGAAAAATCCCTGGCTTAAAGGTACTAATACTACAATAAAGAAAGGTAAGATCAAATCTCCTCCTTCTGTTGCATAGTACAAAAAGACAAATACTTTTTACAAGAATTACAAATGGCAATAACACATGAAAAGATTCCCAACATCTTTAGTCATCAGAGACATGCAAATAAAAAACACACTAAGATTCTATCTCACCTAATGAGAATAGCTATTATCGAGAAAATAACATTGAATAACTGTGAGAATGTACGATACTTATGTACAGTTGGTGGCAATGCAAGTTACTGCAGTCACTTTGGAAATCAGTACAGAGGGTCTAAAAAACACGTGATCCAGCTTTACCACTCCTAGGTGTCGACCCAAAGAATCAAAGCTAGTGCAAACAGAGCTACCTGCACTTCCCTGTTTATTTCAGTGGTGCTCATAATATCTAAATTATGAGATTAGCCCAGCTGCCCATCAAAAGAGGGATGAATAAAAAAATGCAGGAAACCCTAAAGAAGATTAAACTTACATTTTTTACAAGAAAACAGATGGAATTGGAGGTCATCACCTTAAGCAAATTAAGCCAGACTCAGAAAAATAAATACTGCATGTTTCTCTTGGACACAGAATGTAGACCTTTTTTAAAATGGACATGAAAGTAGAAACATGAATATTAGATAAAAGAGATGAGTATATAGGGGAGGGTAATACAAGTATGATAAAAAAGTTATATGAATGCATGAAAATATCAGAACAAATCCATTATATTGTTAATATTAAATTATTAAATGTTATTGCCATAAAACTAAAAAGCAATGTTCAAAAAATGAGTCATTACTGTGAAGGTGCAACTCTTATCTGCTACTACAAATGCCTTGAATGACTAATACTATGGGAGAAATCAGAAAGAAAAAACACTTCCTAAGTCCAATTGGTTGAAAGTGAGGTTGCCTTTAGGCAATAAGACATGGGAGAATGACAATGGAAGTGGATAACTATGATTATAATGTTGTAAGACTCCAAGAATTTAGAGAACTCTTGGGGTGACCATGAAATCCCCAAGGGATGTGAGACAATGGTATCTATCTCAGCAGATGCGATAACCTCATCTCACAACTGAAATCCGTAAAAGTACTTTTGCATCAATATACATTCCCTCCCACCTCCCACACAAACAATCCTGGTCTTGAAGTCCATTATTCATGAGAGGATAAGAACAAGATGTATGCTCACAATGTTAAAAGCACATGATTGTATGTGCATGAAATAAATGTAAGAAGGGATAGGTGGATGAAAAGTTAGATAGACAGACAGATGATGGATGGATGGATGGATGGATTGGTGGATTGGTGGATGGATGGCAAGGCTCTTCCCAACAGGTGTGATTAGAAAAGATATAAAAAGTGAGACCCCCCTAAGCTCAACCCTGCAGGACAACTAGAATTATAATGATTTGTTGAAATTAAAAGGCATGTATAAGTAAGATAGGGAAGCTCAAATCATAACAGAGAGTCAAAGGTAAATACCTGGGGCACAGATAAAGAACAGTCCAGGAACATGAAGATGGATTGCAAATACCCCTAAAAGCACAGCACAGGATGGTCTGAGTCGACACTGGAGGACCTGGCCTGAAACGGCAGGGTGGGGCTACTGCTTCTGTGTGGTCTTACAGACAAATCTACACACATATTCCAAAGGTCTCCAGGCTTCACCTCCTGAGATTCCATCTGGAAAGTTAGTTAGAGCGACCAGACTTGCAAACAACACTCAGTTCCATCCAGACCTCTATGGAAGATTAGAGGTCATGAGGTCTGTAGTCCTGACTTCTGCTATTTACCAGACTTACTGCACTTCAGTCCATTTACCAAAAAAAAAAAAAAAAAAAAAAAAAGCTTCAAGCCTAAGATTCCCACAGCTTCCATAAGCACAACGTGCAATCTTCAAGAAGAAAGTGGATCGCATATGTGTAGCAATGCCTTCCAGATCAATGAATTACCATGCCTTGGCAGTGTGTGGCCACCGCTTCTGTCAGGCCAACAAATGGGGGGGGGGGGGGGGAACCAAGTGTGACTAATTGCAATTAGAGAGAACAATGGCCCAGGGTGGGAGGAGGATAGCTCATGTGGAGGTTTTGTCTCAAGAGAGTCGTAATCCATCTCTTCACACTTTTGACTTAGCCTGGGCCCTGCTTCTTGAATTCTCCTCTGTGTTTGTGTGGCTGTTCTTTTCTTTCCTATTCTGACAAAGCTGCCTCTGCACCATCCTGTGCACTCCCCAAATTGTTGGCTTCAACGGACGCTGTAACGATAGGCGACACACAATGACTGAAAGTAACGCTAAGTATTTTATGTAGAAAATTACTCACAAGTTACCAAACCCAGAGAAGCCCAGCAGATCTCAGCTAGCGACTGGACCGGAAGCCGAACTCCAGGAAAAAAGAGCGAGACTTCCTGTGCGCTGTCTTTTATGCCTTCCCCCCGTAACGCCCCTAGCCATGCCCAAAAGTGGGCTTGGCTAGTGACGTAGTTCCGCCTACGTACGTATACGTCTTTACGTCCAGCCGTATACGTCTTTAGTCCTGCCTAAAGTGGGTGTGGTTAGCGGTGTGGTAAACCGCCCTTTTATTACCTCATCTGTATGCGCCTCTAGTAAGTCACATGTTTAATGGCGGCATAGACTTAGTAAGTCACATGTTTTATGGCGGCATCAGACTTCCTCCTACAATTTCTAATCCCCAAACTACCTTCCAAACAGAAGAAGGGAAGGTGAATCTGATGGCCTGTGAAGCAGACTCTTAGGAATCCATGACCTATGAACTCCTTTCTCTAGAGCCTCATCCTTCCTAGTACTGCTGTCCACAAGGTGTTCTGACCCCAACCATAAAATTAGTTTCCTTGCTACCTCTAACTGCAATTTTGCTACTCTTATGAACTGTAATATACATTTTTTGGAGATAGGATTTGGCAAAGGGGGCTCAATCTACAGGTTGAGAACCGCTGCTGCTCTAAACACTGTCACACCATAACAGGGCACCACATAAAGAAAAGAAGGAATTCCAAGAAGAGCCTAGCTTCAGTGTGGAACTGCTCAAACTGGTATCCTGTTACCTCACAGCCTTGCTTGTTGTTCAGAGCCAATCAGACTGTCCAACAAAGCTGTTCTTAGTTTTCAGGAAGCCTCAACCATAGAGCCACAATGTTGGTCATTAACACCATCCACCAAAGCCGAATATCTCTAATTTTTCTGAGACATGCGATGTAGGAAGATTTCACTTCCATGTCTCTTGTTTGTTTTTGTCATACCCCTTGCTCATATGATTATCTTAGTTCATGAAATGAGAGAAATGTCATTCACCATGCAGGCAGGGACTTCAGAGTAGATGTGTCTTCCCACCTTCCCTTTACTGCTCGGGTTTCAGTGGCCAGGAGCAATGAACAGATGAGGAGAGCTCCTCCCCTGCTTATCCATACCAGAAACAAGCAGGAAAAGGAAATACACCTGTGCTCTTTCTAACCATTGAGATTTAAAGAGGCTTTGTTCCTGCAGCCTAAGTTGGTCTGTCTAAATGCTTCCACAGATTTATTACAAAACTATCTTAGTTGCTTTTCTTTTATCTCTTTCTTTTCTTTTTGCTTGGGGCAGGAGGGGGGACTTGAACTCAGTCTCCCAACTATTCCAAATTATGTAGTCAAGTTTCTTGAATTTGGGAAAATCACAGAGATCAACACATCTAGAACTCAATGGATAAGCCCAGCCTGGGGAAACCACCTTTATGATCATGGCACCCTGCCAGGTAAGTGTCTTAGTTTATTTCCAGTTGCTATGTTAAAGCACTGTAAACAAGGAAACTTATAAAGAAAGCAGTTTTAGAGGGGTAGAGTCCATGATGGTGGAGCACAGGCAAGGTGTGGGGAGCATGTGAAACTCTGAGTGAATGTGTGTTGTACACAGGAGCCCACAATGTCAAGGACCCCAGCCTAGCTTCAGACCCATAGGAAAATAGCAAAGCCTTCCCCCTGGGGAGTGACACAGAGCAATGGCAAAGCCTTTCTCTTGCCCATGTACAGCTGCTGATGGTGTGCACAGAAAATTTCTACCATAAGTCTCTCCCCTTTTCCATTGATAGTTATGAACTGAAAATTATTTTTCCTACAGAGACCGCTCCCACTGAGATTAGGGAAACCTGCTTCTTCAATTCAGACATAAACTCCCTACCTCTTTCACCTCCCCATTTGAATGTACGTTACACACACCCTGAGCTTTCTGTATGTTATAGTTTCTCTGTCAGAGAGTACAATCCCAGCTTTCTTGTGTGTGTATGTGTCTATGTTTGTCCTTTTCCCACTCCAATAAGGTCCATCTCTGGAGCCATGCTGGGCATGGCGGCAGCAATAGCCAAGAGATCATATATTTATCTCCTAAAACAGGCAAAGAAAGTGGATGGTGGAACATTTTTAACACCTTAAGCTTGCTGCCAGTGACACACCTCCTCCAAGAAGGTCACATTCTCCTAGTCCTTCTCAAATGGTCATCAACTGAGCACCAAGTATTCAAATGCCGAAGACTTATGGGAGATACCAAATTACCACATTACACTCCCTGCCTCTGACAGTCTCACAGTCATATCATAAAGCAATATGCATTTAGGTTTTCATAGCCTTTCATGGTCTCAACACTTTTTAAAAGTCTGAAGACTTTTCTGACACTCTAGGCAATCTCTTTACTGTAACCCCCTGTAAAATCAAAGGGCAAACCACATACCTCCAGCATACAATGACACAGAGTATGCATTGTCATTCTAAAAGAAAAGCCAGGGCATAATGAAGAAAGACAGAAACATAACAGGGCACACTACAAATTCTGTAGCACTGTGTTCAAGGTCAAAGGACTTAGATGTCACTGTCCTTTTAGCTTTGTTGCCTGAAAAACCTCTCTCTCTCTCTCTCTCTCTCTCTCTCTCTCTCTCTCTCTCTCTCTCACACACACACACACACACACATACTCTCTCTCTGTCTCTCTCTGTCTCTGTCTCTCTGTGTCTCTGTCTCTCTCTCTCTCTCTTTCTCTCTCTCTCTGAAGCTTGTCATGTTGTCTGTGTGAGGGTGTCCTTGGTAGACACAGCTCTAGCATGTCCAACATTTTGGGATCTCCAACTCAATCCAGATTCAATGGCATTTCAGAGCCTCTTGCCTCCTCAAGGCCTTCATACAGAAATGTCCCTGCCACACATTGCCTGGCTTCAGAAGTTCGTCTTTGTGTCTTTCGTGACTGTAAAGCCAGAATCACATGAATAATGTTACCACGTTTGGCTGCCCTCTTGGGATGTAGCCTGACCCTCTTGAACCATATTTACAGTGGCTTTCTTTTGTCATTCTAGGAACATTTGGGAGCTTGGGTGGGTGGGATCTTGTGCTGAGGGCAGCCTTGTTTTAGTCCATTGTAGGTCAGGCCTCTCTTGATTTCTTTATCTCTTTCAGCACAAGACCAGGCTCCAGCCTTACATTTCCTAATGTGCCTTCTCTCTTCAAATTCAGTGTTTTGTATTCCTTGTCCCCTTTGTATTTCCTTTTGTCAGCCCTTAGTAGATTTAAGTGCCAGATAGGCAATTGTAATTTTGAGGCACAAATAAAATTATGAAAATATAGTTAAATGTGACTGAAGGTTTGTTTTACATGATAAAACCCTAGAAATAAGTGGGTGTCTCAGATTTCTATTGCTATAATAAAGTACAACAACGAAAAGCGACATGGGGAGGAAAGGATTTATTTCATCTTACATTTACGTATCTCAGTTCATCACCCTAGGATGTCAGGCAAGAGCTCCAGACAGGAACCTGCAGGTGGGGACTGATGCAAAAGCCATGGAGGGGTGCTATTTACTGGCTTGCTAATTCTGCTCTCTCAGTCCATCCATGACCACCTGCCCAGGGTGGCCCTGCCCACAGAGAGCTGGGCTCTCCTACATCAATCATTAATCAAGAAAATGTCCACAGGCTTGCCTACAGTCTAATCATCTGGACGCATTTTTTCAATTAAAACTCACAAGTCCTGAACATGTCTAGGTTTGTGTCAGGTTAACAAAAGTCACCCAGCACAGCAGGTTAATCACTCAATGATCATATGAACAATAAGTTCTTTATAGTTTTTGCTCTATATTGTCAGTATATTTGTTTTTCAGATTTCTTTATTATGTATGTGTGAACATATATGTGCACATGTTTTAGGGGAAAATGTCTACATATGTGGAGACTTCAATTATTTTCATTGACTTTGAATCTGCCTTGATTGCTCTCCATCTTACATACTGAGGCAGGCTCTATACCTAAACCCACAGTTCACTGTTGTAGCTAGTCTACATGGGCAAGGGGCCAGGAAGACCTCGGGTGTCTGCTATATATGTGCTGTGACCACACATCCACTAAGCTTTTACTTAGGTTCCTGGGATGAAACTCCAGTCCCACATGACAGGCATTTACAGACTAGTGTCTTTTCATCTTCGTATTTGAATTCAAAGGACTAAGAATGGCTGTTCCAGGTGAACGATTACATTCAAGACAGAAGAGAGGGTTAAGAGGGGTCCTAGCTACATTTCATACCTTCTGTAAAAACCCTTAAACAAAAGCTCTCTAAGAAAATCCCAATTACATCTCATTAAACAATGGTTCAACAAATATCTACCTCAGTCTGTAAGGGAGGCAAGGACAGGGAAAGTTGTGATGGAGCTGGGGTTCTTTCTTTGTGATTCCGAAGGGTTCTGATAATGCTGTTGAAAGTGTTCTTATAGTACACATATTTTATTAAAATCATTTTTGTATCGTGAGCAACTTTAGTTTTTTTCTTTCTTTCCCTGAATCCTTTAAGGGATCCATGACTGTGGTGAACATATGCCTGCTGTGTTGGCTAACTTTATGTCATCTCCACACAAGCTAGAGTCATCAGAGAGGAGGGAGCTTCAATTGAGAGAATAACTCCATAATATCAGGCTGTAGGCAAGCCTGTAGGACATTTTCTTAATTAGTGATTGATGTGGGAGGGCCCAGCCCATTACAGGTAGTGCCATCCCCGAGCTGGTAGCCCTGAGTTGTGTAAGAAAGCAGGCTGAGCAAGCCAAAAGGAGCAAGCCAGTAGGCAGCATTCTTCCATGGTCTCTGCATCAGCTCCCGCCTCTAGGTTCCTACCCTGCTTGAGTTCCTGCTCTCACGGCTTTTGATGATGAACTGTTGTATAGAACTGTGAGTGAAATAAACCCTTTCCACCCCAAGTTGCTATTTGTTATGGTGTTTCATTATAGCAATAGTAACCCTAAGTTTAATATTAGGCTTGCCCTTTAGGTACTAGGACAATAGGAGTTGCAACTTGACTCTTATTCATCTAAACGCTTCAGTAGAACAGGCCAGAATCATTCATGCCATGTGCTGGTATCCCACAAAGCAGACTGTGAAATAACTTTTGAGTGTAAGCTTCATTTAATTTTGTAAAACTAGAGGCAGGCAGATCTCTGTGAGTTCGAGGCCGGGCTGGACCGATAGCCTCCGAAACAATACAGAGAAACCCTGTCTCGTAAAAACCAAAAAAAAAAAAAAACTAATTATATTCCCAGTGCTTGCAAGTGAGAAAAGGAAGGTCTGGTAATTATTTTATCTGACTTGGTGACTATACACATTTAAAATATTTGACGTGATATAAATGAATTTTTGAGATAGATTTATTTATTTTTATATGTATGTATGTATGCAAACATATGTTTTGTGTGTATTACTTTTATATAGATACTTAAAGAGATCAAAGGGCATCAGATACCCTGGAACTGGAGCTATAAGAATTTGTGAGCCATGGATCCTGGGAAGCTTAACCACTCACACATCTCTTGAGACACTGCAACTGAGCTCTTAAATATGTATACCCTATTATCTCTGAACTGTCTGTGTCATAAACTGAGCTTAATAAAATCTTTTAAAATCACCTTAGGATATGAGTCTGTGATAGTCTGAATGAGAATGGTCTCTGCAGGCTCATATATTTAAATGCCTGGTCCCAAGTTGGTGGAATGACTTGATAAGGATTAAGAGATGGGGCATGTAGTTTGAGGGCTTATGTCTAGGACCAGCTCCACATCATTTTCAGCTCTCTCTCTCTCTCTCCTTCTCTCTCTCTGCCTCATACTAGTCCAGTGCCATGTCACCTGCCTGTTGCAATGCTCCTGCCATAATGCTCACTAACTATCCTGTGAAACAAAGTCTTTCTTCTATAAATTGCCATGATAGTGGTGTCTTAGAATAGCAACAGAAAAGAAACTAAGACAGAGCCTTGTGCTTCAAGAGTAACCTGATGTTACCTTCTGTTCTAGAACAATCTCACAGCCATAGACACCGCTCTCAACCCAGATGCTGAAGCCCACAGGTTACTTCATAATCCCCAAATTTCCCACTAAAAAGTCTGCAGTATTCTCACACAAAAGTCTCAGACATTCTTGAAGACTTTGGATTTCTTTCTGACCCTGGGCTTCCCTTCTAGATCAATGCTGATTTCTTTGAAGCCCAGGGCTTCAAAGTGGTAAATCCCACAGCCTCACTCGCATCTTGAAAACTCCTATGGTGGAAAGATTTATAGCTAATGGCTTTGTGATTCTTAATGTAATGTGTTGTTTGAATCAAGGAGTCATGGGATACACTTAAGGAGTCAAAAAAGAGGAAAGTACAGAATTGAAAAATGATAGTCCCCTTCACTATTGTTCTCTGCTGCAAATCATTCTTTGCTTCCTTGGAGCATGATCTCCTATGCCTACCACACACACACGTATAT